CCACTCCCTCCCTCACCACAGGGACCTCATTCTGCCCCCACCATGTCCCGTCCTCCCAACAGACTTACTGGCCAGATGTGGCTGCATTCCTGGCCATGTGCATGCTGCGACTGTGCCCATGCATGCAGCATTTATCAGCACCATAATTAGCCACATCAGCCAACAAAGTCAATGGCCAATAATGTCAATTTTCCTTTTATTGGTGCTTATGCAATATGGACCAACGTATCGGTGCACCTCTAGTTTTGACCTTTCTTGAGATGTAGCACAGGATCTCATCCTTAAAGCTCTACATAAATCTGTGGTATTATACAACTGACTATTATTATTAATGATAACATGTGCTTCTGCCAAGAATTGATGTTCTGCAAATCCTTCTTGATCTATTGCTTAGCACCCGGAATTTACCAAACCATTCTCCAGGTACTACCTATCTATAAACAATAGCCTTTCGTAACACTCAGGGATTATCCTTGATTTCTTTGCTTTGATAGATGGATGCTAGGCTTTTAACTTTGTATTTTTAAGACAAGTAACCAAATCCTGCACACATCTCTGAAAACAGAAAAATTAATTTCATCATTGTTTTGTGCTACTAGATTTCCTGTATCAGCTGCTCCAGAGTAAATTAAACTAGTTCTTTAAGGTTATTGTACATCGTAATGCCCTTATGCTTAATCTTATCATATACTTAGAGAATTTTTGTCACAGTGAGCTTAGAAAAGGAAACAATTTGTAAGTTGATTGACCTGATTGCTTGTGGCAAAGTACTTGAAAATGAAGCTCAAATGCTTTCTTGTCTTTAAAGGGCTTTGTATCTAACTATTCCCATCATAAAGCAGCTTCAAATTTCTGAAGTGAAAGAATTCACTGCATTTCAATGGGGGAACTCATAGGTATCACTATAGACACTCTGTGCTTTCAAACAGAATCGTATCATTTCTCATCCCTTTGTTAAGGATTTGAAAATGAAAGGGAACACTTTGTTGACATTTTGAAAACTCTGCCCTTGAATCAAAATCTTAGGCCAAATGTTATTTTCTTGAATGCAGTGCAGATGGATAGGTTGATTCACTTCTAAGTGTTTTGCAAAATAGGTCTGAGCTGCACCAGCATCTAAATATCTAGCTAAACTACTCTAGCTAGAATCCAAGGAGTGAAATGCATAAAAATGTGTAAGCAGTTGTCTTTTGAGCTCTAGTATTTTGTTGTTTTTTATAAAGGAAATGATAAGCATATAAAAATTTTTGGGATGTGATAACTAATCTGGAAAATATAGTCTATGCACATTCAGAAAAACATTTTGTGTGTAATAAGCATCAAGGCAAAAGAGGAGGTTAAATAAAGGCAAACAAGAACAAGACAAATGGTTTTCTGTTTATCTTTAAAGGAGATAAATGCAGGAAACAGCAGGTTAGGGGCTGCAAGAGGAAGGTGATCAAGTAGGAGGTACCATATGTATGCATGCACACATGCACATGCATGTGACAGCCAGACAACTCCCACAGCTCCCTTCAGTTAAGTCTATGGGGGTGGAAGGGAATGGACACAGGCGTGGGCTACTGGTGCCTCCTGAGCTGGTGGAGCAGGGGGGTGAGGGGCACTTGCACTCTCAGTGGCCAGTCAGGAACCAGGGGGAGTCCCCCTGCGGCCAATCACACTAACTAGGTGGGGAGGATTCCTCACCTCAGCTGGTCGTACGGGCTGACCCGGAAGCAGCATTCTCTCTAAGCTGGCTCAAAGAGGAACGCTGCCTGGATGTGCCAGTGGCACACCTGGAAGGGCCAGGAATGCATCTGGAAGTGCCAATGGAACTTCTCATGGCACCCCCACTCCCTGGCCAGTGCTGTCAGGGGGAGTACCAGTGCTCCTGCCTGCTCCCCGTGGCCGCTGCCTAAGTGGGGAATGCTGCTATGAGGGGGTGCACCAGTGCTCTCAGGGGCTGCACGTGCACCCCCGTGCACCCCCTACGTGTTGCCACTGGACACAGTGTGTACATTGGAAGGGTCGAGGGGATACAGGTGGGGGGGCACATGCCCCCTGAGATTTCTGCCCCCACAGCAAGTCATGGGGCTGCAGCAGGGCTGGACCAACTCCAGGCAGGAGCCACCTCCATGGCCCAGTGGGGGGAACTGGTGAGGGAGAAAGTGCTGCACTGCCATGGCAAGCCATCCTCTGCCCACCCTGCACAACTCTGTTCTGCTGATGCTTTCACTGCTGCACCTCACCATGGTGGCATGGTACTCTCTTCAGTGCCTGGTCTCCACACTGGGCCACAGAGGCTGTGGGTCTGGAGTGAGGGGCAATAGTATGGGCATGGGCATGGCACTGGCATATCAGGGCTACTCTGTACCACAAAGCGATGGGGAGGACAGCCACAGCTAGATCTGTGCCCTGGTGAGCAAAGGGGGCAGAGGGAGATCTGATTTTCCATGATAAAAAACCCAAAATCAAATGCCAAAATTTGTAGGTTTTTAGAATTTATTATAACAATTGAGACACTGGTAGGCTTTGAAATTGCTTTAAAATTGTAAATATACCAATAAAATATTGTGTTCAACTGATACCTATATATATAGTGGTGTTTTATCTTTTATGAGGGCCTGAGTCCCTCAAATTCAGTGCTAAGAGGTGTGACTGGAGGATAGACTATGTAAGGCATAAACACAAACTATGATGTTTTTTATCTCAAGTCCACTGGCTTCACCTGAAATCATTTCTTCACAGGTAACTATCTTAGATTCTGGTTTATGCTGAGTAACACAAGGCCATAGTTAATACAGTTTTAACTCATCCTGAATTAATAAAGGAACAGATCCCCTGACCTTGCATGTACCACTAAACCTTAGAAAAAATACTGAAGAATTTATTTTTGGTGAAACTGGTTTTGACAGGATAAATATTTGACAGGCTGGGTATGACTGTTGTGTGCCTAAAGGCCAGTCTCAACTTTGGTCTGCATTTCTGTCTAGGGCAGTCTGCTCAGCTAACTCTCCTACCACATCCTGATGTTATTAATAGATGGTTTTCTAGGTGAGAGGGTGTCCTCTCAACACCCTGTCTACTCAGGGCATATTACATGGCTCCAACTGTTCCCTACCATGTCCCATGCCTCACAGGAGTTACTTAGTTGTTCTCAACTCAGGGTTCCTCTCCTGGTACCAGACTGGTGTCTGTCCCTCTCTTCCCCCCTCTCTGATACTTGTCTCTCTGTGTCTCGTTCTCTCTAGCACCTGGTTCTCTGCACCTCTCTCTCTCTCCTTCACTCTGGACTTTTGGCGTCTTGTCACTCTGTTCCTCTGGTGTTAGGTCTGCTTGCCCTGTCACTATGCCCCTTTGGTGCTGGACTTCCTATGTCCCATAGCTATGCCTCTCTGGAGTTGGGCTTTCTGGCCCTGTCACCTTGGGCAACTGGTGCCTCCTGATTTTGGGGGGGCACCAGCAGCCGATTGCTGTCTGGGGGGGCCGTCCCCTAGTGGCTGATCGCTGACCCTGGAAGTGCTGGTGGCAAAATGGGAAGTGCCATCAGTGCTTCTCAGGGGGGCACCAGCTGGTGCTCTCCACACCCTGGCTGGCAAGGCCCAATCTTGGGGGATGAGGGCACGTAACCCCTCTATGCGTCGCCTATGCCTGTCACTGTGCTACTCTAGCTCTGGGCTTTCTGCAGGCTGTTGCTACGCCCCTCTGGCACTAGGCCGTCTGGCCCCATTGCTGTGCCGCCCTGGCTTGGGCTTTCTGGGTTGTCACTACGCCCCTCTGGCATTATGCCTAGGTCTCTCTGCGCCTCTCTCTGGCACCTGGCTCTTCACCTCTCTCGGGTGCTTGGCTCTGTGCCTCTATCTATGTTGCCTGGCTCTCCACATCCATTGCTGGACTTTGCCCAGATCATGTGCCCCTTTCTCTGAGCACTGATGAGGCCTCCAAACCTCCCCTTATAGCCTCATCCCGGTCCTCCAGTACAACAATAACACAAGTACAAGCCTGTAGGCTATAACATAAACTCTAATGATAAACATAACACTCTGTCCTTTTAAGAGTGCAAGCTTTCAACCTTCAGCTAGCATGCTCCCTTTCCGAGGGTACCTGAGAAGCTCTGGGTGTCTTACTGTCTTTAGGTAGTCAAACAGGCAGCGTCAGGTCTCAGGTAACTTCCCAAAGCAACAGCTCCTTCCCCTGGCAGTTGGCAAAGGGACCCTGCTCAGTTACCTCCAGCTCAGTAACCTACAGCTGTGGAGCTCTGCATAAAGCATCCAGGTCAGGCTGCTTCAGCCTTAAAGAAGAAGGCACACCTTAGGTCCCTGCTACAGTGGGAAAGGAACTATCAAGGAGTCATACTAATATGCTGTTTATTTATGACCAAAAGTGCAGTAGGTCTTGTATCCCTAAACTTGGTCAAATGCAGTATTAGTCCCAGAATAGAGTGAAACTAAGATTAGTTTTGATGTACTAATTGCTCTTTTTTCCATGTAAAGTCCTCCACTTGGTTCCAAAGTTCTTATCTACAGTGGTGGCAGAAGTACCAAGGCTGATAGAGCTTGATAACATCAGCAGATATTTGGCTGAGGAGTTCTCTGTTTCAGCTCAAGACATAGGTGCTGTGTGACAGCCCCCCCACCTGACTCAACTGCCCACAGCAGCACAGATGTCTGGAGCGCACATGAGCAAGCTGGCATTATGCTAGCCGAAAGTGCGCTCCTGATTGTGCAAAAGTGCACTGGAAGCAGAGGCAGAGGCGGGAGGAACAGCAGCCGGAGAACCAGAAATGGGTACGGCCATTCTCTTCCCCACCTGAGCACCCAGGGAGGAGTCAGATGATCTCTCCATTGTGGGAGAAACCAGTGAAGTGTGGGCTGTGATTCAGCATCTCTCCAGGTGGAGACTTGCAGGGCAGCTGGAGGTACAGTGCCCACTGACAGCATCTGAGATATGCTGCTGACAGGCTCCTCAGCAGGCGGCACTGAGTCAGGCCCTATCTGCGGTGCAGAGACCCCTGCCTGAGGTCCCTAGTTCAGCAGAGCTGGCAACGGTTAGCCAGGGGCTGCCCACAGGTGGTAACCAAGGAAGACCTCCCCAAAGAAAGTGGAAAGTAACCTGTTTAAATTCGCTGATGACACCAAAATCTGGGGGGAGGTGAGCACGCTAGCAGGGAGGGAGAGATTGCAGAGGGATCTGGATAGGTTACAGGGGTGGGCTAACAGGAACAGGATGCGTTTTAACACGGACAAGTGCAGGGTGCTGCATTTGGGCAGTAGGAACCAGCAGCACACTTACACAATGGGGAACTCCCTACTCGAGAGCACGGAGGCAGAAAGGGATCTTGGAGTCATTATTGACTCCAAGATGAACATGGGCCGACAATGC